TCCTTCACGTGATCTTTCAGAACTTGAGGGTCCATCATCCACCTCTGTTTTTCAGGACTTTGATAGCGACGGGGGCTATTAACCCGCCTCCCTCTTGCATCTCTCCAGGGGTTCTGTCGCTGGGGTTCTAAATCCGCCATGGGAGGGATACCAAACAAATCTTCGCGCCTCTCACCCCCCTCCGGGGTTTGCCCATCAAGAGCAAATTGCGACAAGTCTTCATTGTGCACCATTGCTTCCGACTAGAGAGAAAAACTTGATCAAGAGGTTTTGTTCTTTCTGGACTTCCCATAGACGGCGTCAATTGTACGAGCACGAAATAATGTTCTCGTATAATCCTGTTGATCAAGTCTACGCTCCTCCAAACGTTGTTGCTTTACTCCCTGAAAACACAAACGTGAGCTAACCGGCGGGTATGTGCCGGATACCTCTCCGATGCCTAAGTCAGCAAAATAGACAAATAGACAAAAACTCTATGTATTCGGGAATCAAAGTTGTGTTACCTGTACTTAGGTTATGTTATGAGCTTTTATAGGTTCCGCGTGGTTCAATCCTAGTAGGACTCTTATTCCTCTATGTAGAGTCCTCCTAGGAATCACACTCCTAAAAGATAATACTTATCCTTCAACACCCTCCTCACTGCTCAAACCAAGTGAGATGGTTTTACCACGGTTAGATGACAGTACGACCGAGCTAACACTAGCCCTTTGTCATACTTAATCCACTGCCTTCACATGCAACTCGTAGCTCGGCTCTTCTTTTACTTATACCCCGGTTTTAACCTGTTGAGACCGAGCTAATTATACCCAGCTTCGACCGAGCTAACAAGAGCAAGGTCCTCCATAAGAAGCCCAAATACCTCATCTCCGAATATTACGACCAACCTAATTATCACTACTCCGACCATAGTGATTGTAAACATACTTGGACCAAGGTAACAACAAGGTCCATTTTGCTAAGCCCTTTTTACCACAGCCCATTACTATGCCTGGGCCTAGCTCGGCCCTAATGCACATAAAAATTCCCTCTCCAGTTCTATGGTATTTATTTATTTATTTTGTGTATATATAATTTATATATCATATTATATATATATATATATATGTATATTTATGTGAATGATAAAAAAAATTATTTACCTTTTAATCTCTCCAATAATGAAATGCTGATTTTGATCCTGATTGTGGAATTGAGAATTTTGATAGATCTTCTCTATTTCTGTAAAAGTTGAGTTCCAATGTGAAAAGCAAAAAGTTGAACAAAAAAGTGAGAGTAGTTAGATCACATGTCCCAAATGATTGTTTGTCTGAAGACATAAAACAGTCCCACATGGTTGCATCCACTGGATTAAAGGCTGTCTACCCATACGAAGGAACACAACAATTTGTTGAAAAACATTATTAGATTTTAATTACCTGGAAATTCAAATTATTCCTCTCCACCATGTGACCTGAAATATATGATTCCTGGTAAATCTTTTTGTGCCAAATTTTAAATATTGTTTAATGTGTTCTTAATATTTTGATATAATATGAAAGATGAACTTATTAAACTAATGCAATAATATATATATATATATACACACATTATTATATGAAGAACCCAACAAAGAATTTAAAATTTTGGTTAAAAAATATTCACAAAATTGTTAATTGCTAAAACCCTACTAACTTCTAAACAATTTTTCAATTTAACACATTTTCCTTATTATCAAAAGTTTATATTTAAGATGAACTTATTAAACTAATGCAATAATATATATATACACACATTATTATATAAAGCACCCAACAAAGAATTTAAAATTTTGGTTAAAAAATACTCACAAAATTGTTAATTGCTAAAACCCTACTAACTTCTAAACAATTTTTCAATTTAACACATTTTCCTTATTATCAAAAGTTTATATTTACAATTACAAAGGCATTGTGTTTTCACTTACAAATTACAATTAATATATATATATATATATGTTGAGTATCCACACCATGTGAAGTTGGCTTTGGAAGTCAAGAATAGAGGCTGCAAATTTTGGGCTAGAGATTTTGGAGACATTTAGCCGAGCTATCTCCTTGTAGGGTGGCTGTATTGATGGCTTGTCATTTATTTTTGGTGGTTGGTTGTTAGTAGGCAAACTCTTCCGTTTGTGTATAAATAAGGAGAGATGTGAGCTAAGTTGATGGAGAGATCAAACTGTGAAGAAAAGAGATAGTTGTGAGAAATACATGATCTGTGAGTTGAGTTGAGAGAGTGAGATTCCTCCTCCTATGTTTTGTATTTGTTTTTTTATCATAGTGAACCTTTTTCTCTTTCTCTCGTGGACGTAGGTATTAGGCCGAACCACATAAATATTTGTGTCTCATTTGTGTGTGTGATTGCCGAACCACATAAATATTTGTGTCTCATTTGTGTGTGTGATTGCTTGTTGATTATTTTATGAGTGTGTTTAATCCTAACAACATATATTTGTTGGGATGCCTTTGTCTTTAAATCTTAGGAACTAATAAACTCATCTCTCATTAGTAAGTATGTTAACCTGTCTTTGTCTCTATATCTTACAAATTAATCAAAGTAGTCTCTTTTTGATTGTGTTTAAAGCTTTGCATGAACATTTATTTTTTGGGTAAATTTAACTTTAAGAACTGCTGTCTCGACTACTAACTTTAAGAGGAAGGCAAAGAAAAGAGAAAGGTTGGAAACAACAAAGGCATCCTAAAATTGAAGCTATTCTGCAGGACTTAAATTGAAATAAAGGAAAAGAAAAAAAGGATTTTTTGGTCATTTATCTTAATTGCATTTGATGGCTTGAAGCTGGCTCAATTTGCAGCTCAGGCTTCAACCTTTTGAATTTATAAATTCTTGGGAAAATTACCAAAACAAATAACTGTAAATAGATGGGGAATAAAAAAAATAATTGCAATAAAAGTAGAAAGACAAGAAAAAATTACAAAGCGGTAGATCTCCATTTCCGTCTCCACCTTCTCTCTTTCTCTTTCATTCCTTTCAACTCCAACAACCACCACCTACTTACAATCGGCTACCCTTTCGCCACTCTCTGTTGCCACTCCAACACATTCTAAGGTGAGATAGATAGAAAAAGATAGAAGAAAGAGGAAGGAATTGAGAAAAAAGAGAGAAAACATAGTAATAAAAAATATGGGATTTCCACATTTTTGTAATTATTTTTCAAGAGTTGGGAAGAGAGAAAAAACATAAATAAATAATAATAAAAAAGATTTTCACATTTTTGTAATTATTTTTCAACCTTTCGTATGTACATAAGATTCTTCATGATTTTGTAATATTTCCACAAGAACCATTTTCTATCATTTTTCCTAAGTTTACATCAGATTCATAAATAATTACATAAAATGTTATTTTTATAAATGCATTTTATATTTTATATTATCAAAACTACGTAATACAATATTAACAAAATTATACATATTATACTTTTGCAACGCAATCAAAATTACATAACAAGTAATTATACCCAATAAAAATTACACAAAAAGACAAGTAATTATTTAGTAGTTTCAAAATATCACATAATATTGTTTACATGATAATGTGAATCAATAGGACATGTTGATTCACCTTTGTTAAAGGTTAAAAAAAAAAAAAACTTATTTTTAATTAATTAAAAATAACATGTAAATAATATCACAAAATATTTCGCAAATATCTAATAATTTTTTTAAAATGACACAGTTGGTACTTGTATTATATTGGACCTATTGAGTGCAACTCATTATAACTTAAAAATTGATTATCAAAAAATATAAGTCAAAAACATCTCGATAATCAATTTTTATTCAACTTATTTGAATTATTTATTTCTTAATATAAGACAGTTTGGCATATATTATCAAAATAAAATAAAATAAATAAAAATTATAAACATGTTGATAAGCTACACCAAACAATCCCATTAAATTGTGAGGGTAAATTATACTTTGCCCTTTTTATGTCTTATTATTTTTCTATATTGATTTTTGAAGTTTTTTTTTTCATTTAAACTCTTTACGTTTCAAATTTTTCTCAACCTACTCTTACAACTAATTTATGTCTAAATTAGATAGAAAACACTACGGTTTCGTTTGGGAAGAAGGGTTGGGTTGGGTTGGGTTAGATTTGAGGCTATTTTAGTTATAAAAGGATAAAAATAAATTTTTTTAGTCCAATAAGACAAAATATCACATTCAACTCATAATCATTACATTATTTGTCTCACAAAAGTCAAAAAAACCAAAAAAATCTTTTTCAAACGAGGCTTTGCAACCACATGCTAAAAAAATCAAAAAATTAACCCACATCTCAAACGAACTACCACTTGACATAAAAAAATATATTATTATATTTAAATTTAAGTTTTGGTCAAAGATTCAGGTTAAATGTAATGATATATTTTATGCGTGACTGTCAATATGATATTTTTATGTCTAATCTTGAACAAAAGATAATTTTACTTTAAAAAAAAAAAAAACTTCAAACATGAAAAGTGAAAAAAAAAAAAATATTTAAAAACTAAAACGAGAAAATGGTAAAACATAAATGAGTCAAAATGTAATTTATTCAAATTGTAATTAGGATAAATTACAAATACATCTCTTTAGATTTATTTAAAATATAAATTGATTCTTGTGATTTGAAAAATTACACAGACCGCCTTATTAGAATTTTTTATTTAACAGAATTAACTGAAAAAAATAAAATCATAATTGATTTCTTATATGATAATAAAATTACTTAAATTATTAATTAAAACATATTTTTAATATTATTAAAAATTATTAATTGATTTAATAATTTATTAATAAAATAAAATTAAAAATTTTAAAAGATAAACTATAATTTTTAAAATCATTAAAAATAATTCATATTTTAATAAAATCTCATGTAATTACTGTTCTTTTATTTTATTTTTTAATTTTTGTGAGCGCCAATTTGTTGTTGAACTGGCATGCATTTGATTCGATGAGCTGTGACAGCAACACATGCTCGAGAAATGAAGTGATAGGTTAGGGATAAGGGGGAGGGGGAGAGAGAGACAGACAGAGAATACTTGGGTATGAACTTTCATTCTCTCCTGAGGAGTGAGGAGTGACTGACAGCAAGAAACCCAAGAAAGAAAGAAAACCCAAAATGGAGAAGGCTCTAACAAAGGTTGGGAGTCTCAAAGCTGGTACTTTTTGGGCTTCCAAGAAAGCCAAAGAAGAGATCTCCAACATTTCCCAAGACCTCTCTGTAACTCTCTCTCTCTCTCTCTTCCCTGTGTGCTTGTATGGGTTGTTCATTCATATTTGTATACATACATGTCTATGTCAATTCTCATATATAGATAATAGATGTAATGCTTCTTCATTGAACTTACCCAATTGGGCAATGCCAGAAGATATATCTATATAATTGATTTCCCAAAAAACAGAGTAATTTATGAAGAATAAAAAGGGAATTTTGAACAGGGTTTGATGAAATCAGATTAGATGGATAGGATTACTTCTCCCTAATTTACTTTTTTTAATCCTTCTTGTCTTTTCTTTTTTTGAGAAATTATTGCCACAGCCCATTAGTTGTTCAAAATTCAAATGAACCGAACCAAACCAAACCAAACTCTTTGGGTTGGGTTGGGTTGGGTTGGTTTTTGAGTGCCTTAGTTTGGTTCTGGTCTTCAAATCACTAAACCGATAGGATAGGATTGGGTTGATTCGTGGTTTAGGCGTTGCATAAACCGAACTAACCTAATAACCAAACCTATATATATTTATATTTTAAATTTTTATTTATATTGCATGTTTTTTCTTTATTGCTATATTACAATGGATTTGATTACACTTAATAATTTTTCTTGAAGTTTGAGTCAGATTTTGCAGTTGATTTGTATTGTTTCTAATTAATAGATGTAATTTGTATTGGTTATATTTAAGCTTGAGTTGGATTTAATTTGTATTGATTTGCATTAAATAATATTTTGCTCTTTGTTTGTATTATGTTTAAATGTTAAATGCTTTTTTATTTTAATTATTTATTATTGATTGATTTGCTTATTTTTAATATAGTGGAACTGTGGTTCCAACCTGAACTACATTGCCTTGGGTTGCATTGGTTCTGGTGCATGATTGCTTGGTTATGGGTCTAAAAATTTGAAACCTATCATGATTGGGTTGGTTCCAAATTTAGTGTCAAACCAAGCCAAACCGACACACCCCTACAACCCTTTAGATGTGTGTTTACCCATTTGATAAATCTGAATTTGGCTTTCTCAAAGAAATTCTAATCTTTGATTTAATTGGAATTGAATAGAATGCTACATTTTGTTAAATTTTGATCAAAATTTTTGTACTCTTAAAATCAATTTCAATTCCATTGTTCATCTGATTATTGAGATTAACTATTTAATCTTAGTGTTTTTTAGAATGGTTTACATATTGTTGTTGGATATGAGAAAGAAAGTTATTGTGGAGTAATATTGGACACCATGCACATTGATTTGGGTTTTAGGCATGCTCTGATAATGAGTTTTCTACTTCTTTTTTTTTTTTTCTTCTTAGCTTTAAATAATCTTACATTTCTTTTGTTAGAACCTGATTGAGATTTCCATATTTGGTGCTCCTTTCAACTTTGGAAAAAATACTGAAAAATGTAGCGACAGACGTTGGAATTAATAATGATAAATGGAACTGATGTTCACTTGGTTTCCCTTGCAGATCTTGTTCATTTGATTATTCTATAGAATGTAATTTATAACATAAATCATTCAATCCACATGTTTGAATGAATTTTGTAATTTAATGCAAATTAAAACAAATCAACTATGGCACGATGCCCATGCACTTATACTAGTATTGAAAAGAGGCAATTGGCATAATTTGTTCATTTGGCTTTGATGTCAAAAAACATGTTTCACTTTTCAGTTTTTCTGGATGAACATTTAAATTGCAAATTTCTTCCACTTCCTCTGAAGTAGAAGCAATCCTTCACAATGTCTTTGGTCCATAGCTAGTCAATCTCCTGAATGCGATATTGGCATTCCGAACTTTTTTTTCTTTACACTTCCATTCAAATTCGCCTGAATGTGCAAACAATTTGATAAACAAAATTTCTATAAGAGGTGCCATCTGAATTTTTAGAACCCTTGCGTTTTATTTGAGATGAGAATTTTCAGATTTCTCAGCATTTTTTCAGTTTTAACTGCAAATAGATATTAATTCGTTCAGAATTTTGACACTAATTCTTTAAGCTTCCTCCATTTTTATTAATTAACTCCTCTCTCTGTAACCATTTTATTTTAGTGTTCTTTTTTTCAATCTTATTTGTATTTGCTGCATTATAAAGTTGAATATCAAGTTTTTGTAGCCCCTGCATGGCAAATAGAAATCTGAAGTATAATTAAGATGAGTTAAAGGAAGAGTTAAAAGGGTCCCAAAATAAGCCCACAATGAGCTTTTGGTTTCAACTTTCTAATTGATTGATCATCTATCAAAATTGAACATATTTATTAAAAGCAAAGCAGATAATTGTTATCTTGGTGATATTATATGTCTGACGTGTTCTCATCGATGAACTTGTTGTGACTACTATTTTGTCTCTTAACTAATATGTTTGCTTATGATTTCAGACTTTCTCAAATACCGTGGAAGAGAAGGCAAAATGGATATTCAACAAGCTGAAAGGTACAGAATTAATATTAATCAAACTGGATTATTAAAGTTTCAACTTGCAAGTGATTATATGGTAATTAGTAATAGTATCCCGGTTCGTTTTGTGTGCTTTAGAAGTACTTTAATGTTGACTTATAAATAAATATCCCTACAAAAATGCTTCTTTCCGGGATTTGTATGCTTTTGTGGGTAACCGCCTAAGAGGCTTGAACTTATCTTGAAAGTAAGAGTGGATTGTGCGGTCCTTGCCTTGAATGTTCCTGCTATATACCATCGTTGAATATTTTTAACTATTCTTGTTAAGATTGTCGCCTTGGGTGTGCACTTGCATGAGCTAGCTTTTGATTTAATTAGAGAATACATATTATTAAGATAATGAACTAGCATCATAGAAGAACATGTTTAGATAGAGGAGGGAAGAATTTCTCATTACTTGCTGAAGTAAAGGAACTCAATTTGGCAATCCCTGTGAATAGTACTGAATTTGTTTGAATTTCCCACTATTTCTTTCATATTTCCCTCTAATTTAAACCCATATTGATATTAGCTACTCCTTTCCGTTTTTTACGAGTTATTAATATTGTATTATTTTAAGGGCCAAGGTGAGATAATAGAAACTACAAATGTCTGATTACGAAAGACTAGTACAAACTGCAGTACAACTTGAATATTAATAAAGAAAATAACAATCTGCGGCTCTTTATTTTACTGTTTAATATGTAACTTTTGTGCTTTTGGGGTCGTTTGTCCTAGTAAACCAAAACTATTTCTATTTTTCCCCCATTTGTTATCTGTCTTTCCCATTCAAATATCATGATAAATTATTACATCCTTACTTTTTTCTGATATGCATAGATTATTTTTACAACTAGAAGTATAGTCACAGAAAATTCTGTACAACTAACTATACTGCTGCAACTACAATGAACGCAACCTTCAATTCTTCCACTAGTAATCTGGCAGGCATCAATGAGTATGACCAAATATTGTGTGTTTGAGATTTGACCTTTCTCAACCATAATTTCCTTTTTTATGGAACTAGTTACATATTAATTATGATACCACTTTGGAAAATCATAGAATACTCCCGAAGTACCACGTGTCCGTACTCCTTAACCAATCATCATTCATCATGTCCCTTCATGTTGCTCAATCACCTAACACAATATCTGACCTACCCATCTTCTTCACCAATCACAATACCAAGGAATATCACGTGTCCGTACTCTGGGACTACTCAATTTCTTTTACCTCCTACTGTCAAAGTGTTGAGCCTAAATGTCCATATGACCATTAGATCATAGCCCTTTAAGGTTATAAAAACTCCTCTTTTCTCATTTCTTTGTTTGGGTAAAATTTTAAGCTCATAGGACATTACTTCTATTGCTCCTTCACTCAAATCTGAAGTAATTAGTCTTTTGGTGGTCCAAAGAGTTGGTTATCCCATCAAATTTTCACAATACTTGCTTTCTTTCATACAAAATTGTCACAATACATCAAATCACTTACGCTGTGTTTGGTTGAGGGATTTGAGGAGGGATTTGGAAAGAGAAATGGAAAAGTTAGGTGAAATGTGAATAAAATATACTTACATTTTACCTAGTTTCACACACCTTTTCCCTTTCCCTTTCTAAATCCCTTCTCAAATCCCTCAACCAAACACATCATTAGTAATTGAAGGATAGGCACAGTGACTCAATGAGCAACACAGAGCAATGTGATTGGATGACTATAGATAAGCAAAAACAAAATAACACTGATTCTGATCCGTATATGCCAACTCTGTAATTTTGTCACAATACATCAATTCAATCTTCTTTTTGTTGTTTTTTTTCAGGCAAGCCAATGAAAGCCTTGCCAGAACTCCTGCGTGAGCACAACCTTCCTCCTGGCCTTTTCCCACAGAACATAACATGTTACGAATTTGACATAGCAAAGGGCAAGCTCATCGTGTACTTGTCCTCACCCTGTGAGGTTAGCTTCAAGGACTCGTCCATTGTAAGGTACGCCACTCGCGTCAAAGGGACATTGTCGAGGGGAAAGCTCACTGGAATAGAAGGAATGAAGACAAAGGTCCTCGTATGGGTTAAAGTCACCGGTGTGTCTGTTGAGAGCTACAAGTCAGACAAAGTTTGGTTCACAGCTGGTGTGAAGAAATCTAGGCCCAAAGATGCTTATGAGATGCCTAGAGATGCTATCAAAGTAGAAGAGTTTTAATTCCAATATATATATATTTTATGTTTTAGTATGTGTTTTTTATTATCAAATGTTGGTTTAGGATATGGTGTGCTTGATCTTATTCACTGGTACATTCTTCATTTCTGTATAAAATGGTTAAATATTTTGCGAGTTTGATTCCTGTGAAGTCAGATTGTCAGATTGTGAAGTAAATATTTCATTAATTAAAGTAGTTTTCTGTTTTAGGATTTTTTTGGTCAATGAAATCAGCTTTAGGTTAAACTACTTCAATATGATTGGAGATTTCATGATATTGTTGTTAGACACTACTATTCTTTCCTTATCTATCTTCTATCTAGGCCCAAGATTTGGCGAGTAGATTGGTATGATTGTTTATGGTTTGCATTGAAGCTAGGGAAGTGAATCATGCTTTTTTGCTTTTTTAGAATCTTAAAAATTGATGTGTTTGGTAATTGCTAAAAGATTTACTTTTTGAACCATTGTTTTTTGTGAGAAAATTATCAAATTACCCTCATTTAGCAAAAAGTAACATGCTTTTTTCACATGACTTTTTAAGTTGAAAATGGTTGAAGAAAAGTAGGGAGTGTAAAATAGTGTTGTACCTAAGCACTGTGGTATACACATGAAAGGAGGACACTGTTTTTATCTTTATGGATTTGGGTGGGTATTTACAAAAAGAAAAGAATATTTCTAGAGAAATGGAGGGAAAAATAATTAATTTGTATTTTTTTCATCTTTTATTTTACTTTCTAAATTTGTATTTAAATTCATGATTCAAACACAGTTTTAGAGTCATCTTACTTGCATATGGAACACAACACAACACACTTCTAATCTCTGCTTCTTGCAATCTTGCATAATTTCCTTGAACCCTAAGATGATCATAATGCATAGGAGGATCAAACCAATGACTGAAGAAAAGAGGTGTCAAAATACTCTGTTTTGTAGACACATTGTGGGATCAAATTATACACACCTAGGTCTGACCCAAATAAGGTGACAGAATGATCCAATCCAGCCAAAAAGCCCACCAAACAAAGAATTAGAACAAAGCCACAACCACTATAAAAGGAAAACCTCCCCTTGAAGGGAAATATGCCTCATTCTTTACACACTGCAGAGTGTATTTCTCCATTGGGTTTTAGAAATCTTTTTATTTTCAAAATAAGTTCTCACTCACCCCTCCTTTTTTATCACCCGTGATCACCACCCACCATTGGCTAGTTGACTAACCATCACCAATCATCAGCTGATCTCCAACAACCCTCTAATCACCTCATGTGACCTCTGGCCCCCCTCCGATGACTCTCTAACCATCACTTCTAGCCACCTTCTATTATTGTTTATTTACCACAACTTTCAACAATTCACCAAACCATTTATTTTTATTTTCAAGACAGGTCTACACCAAATAAATTTGTATTTTTATTTAATAGAATCAAAATAAAAGCTTGTTTCCTATTCCATTAGAGTTTTAAGTACAAGTGCAAAGACCTTGTAGAGGAAGGGATTAAAATTCAAGGACCATCCGGAAGAAATTATTGTTGGGATTTAAGCACAAGTTCAATCCCTAAACTTTATAGATCTTGAAAATTATGAATCATAGAAAAATAAAATTAGCAAAACACACAAATATATGAGATTCGACAACATGACTACGTCCTCTGGAGCCACACTAATTCACTATATTGATTATAGAATTACAGACTATTTTTTCACCGTTTGCACTCTCTGAAAACTGCAACAACCTCTCTTTTTATCTAACCCTAAAACATGTACAATGTTACATGATATAGGGTAAAGCCGGTAGGGCCTCCGGTGCTTCGTGACCCCCCCTTAAGCTTGGGCTCCCTGTTGAAGGTTGTCTGCATACCCAACAGAGGACTGAGGTTAGAGAAAGGGGGAATAAGAAGGAGTACTAGTATCAAAGTGTCATTGAAAAGCTTTAGCCTTGATGGTGTAATGACACTTGCAAGTGTCACTAAGGTGCTACTAATATCTACTGTGGTATGAGTGTAAATGACATTTATTGAAAACGCTACGTACAAGACTAGAAAATGCCACTAGAGAAGTAGTTTTGTGACACTTTCAAGTGTCACTGACCTAAGAAAATGTTGTAGTGGGTATATGAGGGCTTGGAGTAGGATGCTAGTATAATGGAACTAGAATTATACACAAGCTGAGTTGAGTTAAGTTTTGGAGTGTTCAAAGCTCAATTTGCTAAAAATTTTAGTCGAACTCAAATTAAGTCAATTTAGTTACATAAATAAGTCAAGCTCAAAGAATTGAACTAAGTTCAAGTCAATTTAATTATATAAAATAGACTTACGTATAAGTCTTAATAAGTAGACCCATTGTCCAATAGGTCTTATGATAATTAGCAACAACTTATAACAAGCATGACCAAAAAAAAAAAAAAAAAACATTGACAATAGCTTTTTAACAATTTTTTTTATAATTTTTTTTTGTCTTTTATGAATTTTTGTTTTATATATATGTATGTATTTCTAAAAATTCACTTTTAAATCTCACTAGACTAGACTATTTTTTTATTTTGACATGAGCAATGACAACTATTTGAAATACTCTTATATCGTCGTAGTGAGCCTCGTTAATATGCTTACCAACCCAAATTGTACAAGTTCAATCCTTTTCCTATCTGGAGAGATGATAGACCCATGCTATTCACGTTGTTTAAGTGGCATTGAAACATTTTTATGAAAAAAGTAACATATATGATTTGGGAAAAAATAGATTTCTATAAAAATTTAACAATCTTCTACGTATATAAAATTTGATCACAAAATTAAACATAACTCTTTTACATGAGGTGGGATCCACACATATAATGAGTTTTGCCATGAGAGAATTGTGCTTGATTTATCGGCATGCGTATGTACAATTTTTCAAAATTTAAACTTCAAATGCATTTTTTTTTTAAATCCTACTTGCTATAAAAATCAACTGTACATGAACACAACTGCATTTTCAATAGTCCTCAACTTCAAACCTAAAATACATCTACCTTTTTGTTTGAGAAGTGAATAATGGATCTGGTTGTGTTGAGTCTCTTTCAGGTTCAATGATGAAAACCATTGTAAATTATGCTTTTAGGGATACAGTTGGCAATAACCATCTTTTAAATGAGGATATTGAACTTCACCAAAACCATCAATACCAATTTTAATGGCATATACACACCAATCATATATATAGAGAGAGAGAGGAGTAAGTGGGTAGATCAAAGGTAGGTATAGATTTTATGTTCTTTTAAATCTCAGTTCCAATGCATTTTCTATCCTTTGGCCCATTTGTTTTAGGCTATAGGGAGGGTATTGGGATTAATAATATCAAGGTATTACTAATGTTCTTGTTTATTTGCAGAGATAGTCTTGAGACTATTAGTCCCTTGGTATTATTAATACCTTTAGAAGGGGGATTGGTAAGAAAGAGGTAGAGATGGTATTAGAAAATAGTGAGGGGATTAGAAATTTTTTTATTTTTTAATATTGGGAATTTTTTTTTAAATATAATGTTTAATTTTTTTTATTATTTTATATAAAAATAATTTAACAATTCCTCATTATTAATTCCCTCACTATCAATCCCCTCACTAACAATCCCCTCACTATCAATTCTCTCCATTCTATATTCCAAAACAATAGTGGGGGATTGATAGTGAAGGGATTAATAATGAGGAATTGTTAAATTATTTTTATATAAAATATTAAAAAAATATAAAAAATTAAACATTATATTTAAAAAAAATTCCCAATATATAAAAAATAAAAAAATTTCTAATCCCCTCACTATTTTCTAATACCATCTCTACCTCTTTCTTACCAATCCCCCTTCTAAAGGTATTAATAATACCAAGGGACTAATAGTCTCAAGACTATCTCTGCAAATAAACAAGAACATTAGTAATACCTTGATATTATTAATCCCAATACCCTCCCTATAGCCTAAAACAAATGGGCCAAAGGATAGAAAATGCATTGGAACTGAGATTTAAAAGAACATAAAATCTATACCTACCTTTGATCTACCCACTTACTCCTCTCTCTCTCTATATATATGATTGGTGTGTATATGCCATTAAAATTGGTATTGATGGTTTTGGTGAAGTTCAATATCCTCATTTAAAAGATGGTTATTGCCAACTGTATCCCTAAAAGCATAATTTACAATGGTTTTCATCATTGAACCTGAAAGAGACTCAACACAACCAGATCCATTATTCACTTCTCAAACAAAAAGGTAGATGTATTTTAGGTTTGAAGTTGAGGACTATTGAAAATGCAGTTGTGTTCATGTACAGTTGATTTTTATAGCAAGTAGGATTAAAAAAAAAAAATGCATTTGAAGTTTAAATTTTGAAAAATTGTACATACGCATGCCGATAAATCAAGCACAATTCTCTCATGGCAAAACTCATTATATGTGTGGATCCCACCTCATGTAAAAGAGTTATGTTTAATTTTGTGATCAAATTTTATATACGTAGAAGATTGTTAAATTTTTATAGAAATCTATTTTTTCCCAAATCATATATGTTACTTTTTTCATAAAAATGTTTCAATGCCACTTAAACAACGTGAATAGCATGGGTCTATCATCTCTCCAGATAGGAAAAGGATTGAACTTGTACAATTTGGGTTGGTAAGCATATTAACGAGGCTCACTACGACGATATAAGAGTATTTCAAATAGTTGTCATTGCTCATGTCAAAATAAAAAAATGACTAACAGACTATTTTAATAATTTTTTGGCTAAAATATGAGGTGAAAAAAATTAGTATGTTTGAAATGATTTTTTGACTTTTTACGAAAAGATGTGCAAAAAGTAGAAAGAAAAAGAAATCTTTGACTTTTTAGTATAAATTGTTGACTTTTTGATTTTTTTAGTAACCTTTTGACTTTTAAGCTAAACGAGGCCTTAGTTTCACAAAAATGGTACTCTAGTGGTGTGCCATTGCTCAAGCCAAAAAATGGTAAAGTCACAACTTTGAGCCAAATTTAGCTCAAAATTTGGCAAAGCCATCGTGATGTCAAATGAAAAAAAGAGAAATAGATATTAGGGCAAAAAACACCCAACGGCTAGAAAAAAAAGTTTGTTGAATTTGGCAAATGATTGTGCCAAAATGGCAAGTCTATATTGGAGTGGTACAATTAAAAATTGGTTTTTGTACACTGTAGGAAGCCAAAAAATGACTTTTATAAA